TCTGGAGGCTGAACATCCAGTGATCACAAATGGCAACTCCTTGCAGCAGCTTCCTACAGAAGCAGACAAGCCCACATGGACCTCCTCTGTGAAAACAGCCTCATCTAGAAGGGCTTTACCCTTTCATCACCAGCCCCGTCTCAGTGGATGGTGGAGCAAAGCAGCTTTAGGAATGCCAAGTCCAAAGCAACCAGGAATGCAGATCTAGCTTGCCTAGCACGTGGCCATCCCAGAACTGGAGTGGCGGATGTTTAAAGGCTCGAGTGTCATGCCTACCTCTCACCACTAGACTAGACAGCCATTTCTGTGTCCTCTCTGAGCCTAAGCTTCCTCACTGTACAGTACAGAGGACAATGCAGCCATGGCTCTCACCAGATGTTATAAGTGGTCAGAGGAAATGAACCCAGCAAAATGTCTCACTCAATAACTACAACTAAAACATTCAGTAAATGATGGCAATGGTAAGCAGAAGCAGATCTCTAAGCCTCAGGGTGAGATAAAAGTTAGTGGTGGCATAGGGATGAGGGGGAAAGACCCAGCCAGACATCTCTTTGCCTATGAGTACTGAAGAAAGGAGCTTATCAATCACTGTCAGAGAGACAGTTTATTCCCCATAACACTGCCATAAAATACCTGTGTCCATGGCTTAAAACCTCATGAAATACTGCCCTTGTCTTATAACTCCCAGGGTATTACTGTCTTATACTCCAGTTTCACAACTGTTCTCTCAAATACTCATTTTCTTCCTCTAATATTTTATTCAAATTTTTAAACTCAAAATTAATCATCTGCAAAGAACTTATTATGCAGAGGTGTATGGCACATCTGCTTTTATACTTGAGGAGGGAGAGGGCAGTGACAGTCACAGAAAGTATTACATAAGAGTCATTCAAAAAACAAAAAGGAAGCCATGCCTTTAAGGCAGGTGGATCTCTATGAAACCGTGTCTCAAAAAAAAAAATAGAAAAGAAAAAGGGCATTCTTTCCACACTGGTAAGTTTGCAAAGATTTTGTTTCCCCTGATTATGAAATATTTCACTAGCTAAAACAGAATCCAATTTTTCAAAATATATATTTTTATAAATATCTAGAGCCAACCAACCAATGTCATCATTTATTCGTACAAAACATCCTAGGACAAAGTATTAAAACTATTTCTGAGTCAATGCATTTACTGAATATCTAAGACCCTTGCCCTCAGACTGTTCCTAGTCTACTGTAGAGAACAGACCCAAGACAGTACTAATGAGACTACATAGGTGAGGTCCCAACCACCTGTAATTCCAAACCCTCTGGCCTCCATGGGTGCTGGCATGCACCTGGTAAACATACAGTTGCATAGGCACACACAAACACAGAGGTAAAAGTAAATTTCTCAGGTACAACCAGATAGCTTCAGTCTGCTGCCAAGCCTGATGACCTGCATCTGACCCCAAGAGAACAGACTTCTCACATTTTCCTCTGTCCTTCATATGCTCAATGTGGCATGCATGCCACACATATACACATAAACAAATGTTATAAAACAAACTTCAAATGCAAAATAAATTTCTTTGTTTACTTTCAGTAAGTGCGATCTCACTTTATATGCCTATGAGCAGGTTATGTACAAGCGGAACATGTACTAACAGCCCTGATCTAGACATCCCCAATGGACTTTTAGAGATGCTCCAAGCTTGTCAGGCTCAACCTGATTTCCCCACTCTTACTGTTGGGGACACACACCTATGAGAGCTTCAAAGAATAGACAGGATTGCAGGAACCCATTCTGCCCACTCTGCAAAATCAATCCAGAAATCTGGATAAGTCAGCCAGCTGGCTTAGGAACCGTGCTGAAGGAATGCTGTCCTACAGCAGATCAGCTTCATTCTCCATAGACTTTCAAGGTCAAAGGCAGGAGAAAAGAAATCTGGGCCATGCAAACTTCTTTGTCATCTAAGTTCAATAGGATGGTGGCTAGTAAGGAGCACTCAAGCCTTGCCGTCTTGAGTCAAGCTCTCTAGTCTTCACTGGAGACAGTGTTGGTTATGTTTCAACCACCTCCTGAAGTACGTTTGTTGGCATGGAAGAGGCACAGGAAATGAAGCATTTTTTTAACAACTGACTCACATGAAGTAGAGTTGTTTGACAACATATGGAGCACTGTACTCTTATTGATGTCAGCAACTTCAGAAAGCTGCCTGGTTCAGCGGGATAAATCTCAACATTTGAGCACATGATTTTAACTGACACCTGAAACTTCTTATGTGTAGGCACACATGTGGGGACATGCATGAGTATGACTATGTGCATGCACGTGGTAGACTGAGGTTGATGTTGGACTTATCCTCGATCACTCTTTCACCTCAATTAAAGTGTGGGGGGGGGGAAATCTCTCCATTAAACCCAGCGCTTACTGATGCACCTAGTCTCAGTAGTCAGCTGGCTCTAGGGATCCGACTCTGTCTCACAAAGCTAGAATGACAGGCAAGCCTCCATATCCAGCAGCATTTATGTGGGTTCTAGGGATGCAAATTCTGTTCCCCACACTTGCATAACAAACACTGTTTAATTTTTTTTAAAAAGGAGATGGTTCAATGATAGGACAAGTTCTCACTGTGTATCCCTGGCTACCTTGGGATCTTGCTATTTAGACCAAGCTGGCCTTAAATTTTTGATGACCCTCTCCAGCAGCCTATACCTCCAGAGTTCTGAGATCACAGGCATGTCGCTCAGCTGAACAATTCTACTATTACAGAAAGATCTGTTATTAGACAGATTTCTATTATAGCCAAAAGAGTTAAATTTTCATCGTGTACAGTCACTTTATATTATGAAAACTGCTTGAACCAAGTCAACAAAGGCACAGAAACCACTTGATGCACCATTATTTACAATGTGGTGTAACTGTTTAGACTATATGTGTAGCTAGTGTCTGCCCAAATCTATATTCTCCAAATATCAGCAAGTGAAGACTTCAAGGAAACTTCTCAAACATCTATTTGTACGTGGAGTCACTTAGAAGGCCACCCATCCCCTAGGACTTGACATATAACAAGTGTTTTTATATTAATCCAAAAAATGCTCTCATCTCTCTGATGACAACAGTCTTAGTTTAATTTTACTTAACAATACCTTGTCAGAATAACTTCAGAGGACAGTAAAATTATTAACCCTCTGGAGGTAGAGTAGGTACATTACCTGTGAGTGACAAGTGCTTCCTTAACAGGCAGCGTTGAGCCTTTCACCAGGTTGCTACTCTAACGAGGGGGTCAGATATAAAACTGGATTCAGGGTTCATCTTCTGAAAACTGGAGGCTGGTGGATCTCTGTGAGTTCAAGGCCAGCCTGGTCTACATAGTGAGTTCTAGAACAGCCAGAGCTGCATAGTGAGACCTTGTCTCAAAAAAAAAAAAAAAAAAAAAAAAAAAGCCGGATGGTGGTGGTGGCACACGCCTTTAATCCCAGCACTGGGGAGGCAGAGGCAGGAGGATCTCTGTGAGTTCAAGACCAGTCTGGTCTACAGAGAGTTCCAGGACAGCTTCCAAAGCCACAGAGAAACCCTGTCTCGAATAATCAAAAAAAAAAAAAGCCATCAGGTTCTCTCAACGATGTTATCTTCATTTTACTGACACACCTACATATTTCTTGCCCTCTTCTTTTAGCCTTTAAAACCAAAACTCACAACTAGGCAATGTGTAAGGTCCTACAACTAACTTTCACACAAGAAGACAACTTAATTTTAATTGGGTTGTCATGCAGCTAGAGCAAGGGTACCATTTGATAAAAGTAACAGGCACTTTGTGGACTCCTCAGAATGGCTACCTTATTTTGCAGAGGTGAACAATAAAAGGAAAAGCATAAACTGAGGCCTGGTAGAAACTAGTAATGCTAGCATGCATACTGCTTAGGTTTCCTCATCTGAGAAAGGGAGAAAACGACTTCAGAACAGAAGCTCAAGCTGAAGTAAGAAAACCACCTAGTCCAGGGGTCAGTTTCTTCCCCCTTGTTGCTATGTCTTCATGGTATACCCGATTTTCATTAAGAAAGATGCCTGAGCATAACTACACGTAAACATTCAGTCCCTACACCCAGGGGGATCTGCCTGACCTTTCCGGGTGCTGTTAGAACCAAAAATGAGGTTCATTACTACAGCCACCCCTCTCTTCCTGAAAGCAGGTAAGAGTAAATACTGCAGGAACTCAAGAATGGCCCAACATACTGCCAAGCAGCCCTTCTGAGCGATGCATGTCTGGTGTGCCGGGATTACCCATTTCTAATAGGCCTCTGCTCTTGGTCCCCTAGACCCTAGTTACTCTCCTCAGGGAGAAGGCAAGAAAGATTCATCTTGATTCACTTCGTTGCCGACCAAATGTGGAAAATCTTTAGTTTTCCATTGAAATCACCTGAGGAACTTTCAAAACTCTAAATGCCCAAGTCATATCCCAAACCAAGCACATCGTAATATCTAAGCGGTGGAACCAGGCACCATAATTTAAAAGTCCCCAGTATGGTACAAGATGAAGCCTAGGTTGAGCCCCACTATGTTGGATAGCCCCTTTTGGTTTCAAATGACTTCTGCCACAAGGGAAACCAGAAAAGCCAACCTAGAGCACATCAGAACCACAGCTGTGCAAGAAGGTACGGTGGGATCCCGAACAGGGGGACTGCAGGTGCTGCCCTGGGCTCCACCAAGGGCGGAGGACCATACATACTTTCAAATAGTTTGCCCTTCCAGCAAAAACAAGTCGGCTGATTTTGGAGGTGCCATTGTCTGTATTTGTCTCTACTCACTCGGATTTTCTTCCTTTTTAAAAGGCAAGTCTCTTGGGAAGGAGAGAGATGTGTGCACCCCAAGCCAACCCCAACTACAGAGGAGCAGACAATCCCCGAGGCTGCCTAGAAAGCACCAGGCCGGCTGCGGGGCGCTGGGCGGGGGAAGCGCGCGGCCCGCAGTCACTGCACCTGCCGCTGTGCACGGGGCCCGCACCTGCCGCGCCTCGCCCGCGCCTCCGACCTACCTTCTAGCAGCTCGTCCAGGCTAGTGACCTTCCGACTGCCGTCTATGGTGTAGATTGTGCGGACGCCCTGGGGCAGGTTCACATTGTCTGACAGGGAGCGGGTGAGCTCCATGAGGAGCGCGTCGAAGGAACGGAAGCGGTCGCTGGAGATGGCAAAGACCAGGCCTTTGAAGTAGCGGTCCCCATTCCGGTAGAAGCGCGCCTTCTTGGCCTTCTTCTCCGAGCTGAGGGCCTGCAAGGTCCGCGTGCGGTAGAAGCTGCAGTGAGCACTGTGCGCCGGGCTGGGGATGAGCCCATTGCCCTTGGGGCCAGAGATGCCGCTGCCCCCGGAGGAGCTGGGAGCCCCTCTCCGCGACCCCGGCCGCGGCCTTTTGTCCCGTTCTTCAAAATGCTCCAGCTCGATGCTCCTGGTGCTGGCCATCGCGGCTGCTCAGAGGGAGCTCTCCACAAATCAATCAATTAATAAAGGAACGTCCCCGCCGCCCCGGCCGCAGCGCTCGGACCTTAAAGCCGCGGGGCACCTGGCTCGGGCATTCGGGCCATGCTCGCAGGTGGGCCCGTTCAGCCGCAGCGCGCAGCCACCCAGCTCATTGTCCCGCGCGCCCTCTCGGTCGCCACCGCCAGCTGGGGAGCCCCACGCCCCCCAAAGCGCCTCCTCCGCCCGGCCACGCCTCGCAACTAGCGCGCGGGCAGCGGGCCCGGAGCCGCCGAATTGAACGGCCCGAGGCTTGCCCGGGTTCGCGTCCCGGCCCGCGCTCGCTCTCGGGCGCGCCGAACGGAGGAAGGAAGCGGAGCGGGGGAGGGGCGCGAGCGTGGGCGAGGCTCCTCCGGGCTGTGTCGCGCGGCCTGGGGTCCCGGGGTCCCGCCGCCGCCGCCGCCTCGCGCGCGCCCAGGCCCAGTCCACGGCCAGTGAGCGTCCCGGCTGACCCGGGGATCCTCAGGCCGCGCCGGGCCCCAGCGGGAAGAGCGCAGCCGCCTCCCACGCGCGCACGCCCGCGGGCATCCGCGCTCTCGGCCGCCTGTCCGCCTGTCAGGGCCGGGACTGCCCCAGGAGAACACCTTCTGCCCCTCCGAGGATACCACAAACCACACGGAGCGGGAGGTGGTGAGCAGGAGGGCGGCGCCGCGCGGGGAGCGGCTCCACGGTCCGAGGCGGCCCCGCCCGCCAGGCTACGGGAGCTGCGCGCTCCCGGGCGTGGCCGCGCTGCGCGCTCTGCAGCCGCGGAGGCAAGCGTTACCGCGCAAGCCAAAAAAACTACAAAGGAAGGAGACTCAAGGGCAGCAGGCACATCCTTATCCCGCCTCCCGGAGAGGAACTGAGGCCATCCTAGGGCAGGAATACAAAATAGAGCACTAGGTTTGGACGCGACATGTATTAAAAAAAAAAAAAAAAACCGGCCGATGCATTGTTTTATTTAAAGATTCTTTGGGTTTAAAAATCCTTCACACTTTCTATTACAGATTCGCTAGCGCGGTAGTTCTGGTAACTTTGAATGAATAAATGACTAGAAGTTATTGTTTTGGGGAAGGTTGATTTCATCAAATATTTGTGGAAAGCTTGCCATTTGCGAAGCATTAATCCCATCATTGGGGGTGTTCAAGCGGAGAATGGAACCACACGCGTTCTATCTCAGCTTCTCACAGAAGTGGACTGACTGACAGACATCCATCATGCAGAAAATCTTTTCTTTAGAGGTGTCTGGTCCACAATAAAAGAGTGTTTCCAAAAAAAATGGAAACATTAGTTATTTCACTTTGGCGATGAAGTTCAAAGACGTTTGGCCCTAATCTGACATAAGAGATTAATGACTCAGCACCTGATTCTTCGGCGGCTCTAGATAGCAGCTCCAAACTGTCCTTGAAGGTAGGATGACAAAAAGGCTTTGCTTATAAAGGGCTGGAGTCCTGGAACGGCGTGAAACAAGGAGGGGTGGAAACACAATGTCACCCCTGAAGCAAATCACTTTTCATACGGTATTTAATGAATACGATACAGATCAAGACCTAGTTGGCCAAAACTTGGGAGCTGATGGAGGTAGAGAAAAAACTGTTCCATGGGTATCCAGGATGACTCAGTAGGTAAGGGCACTTGCTGCCAAGCCTGATGACCTGGGTGCAGGGGCAGAGCCCACGTGGTGGAAGGAAAGCATACATTCCTGCAACCTGTCCTCTGCCCTCTGCATGCATGCATGGCATGCAACACAATAAATAAATGTGAAAGCTGTGAGAGAAAAAGAAATTGCTCCTGCGTGCCAATTCTAATGCAAACAAACGGGGCTGGTGGGTTTCAAGGAGACAATGACTAAGTAATCTGGGTTGCTTTATGGTTTAAAATTTACAGAACCATAACAGATTTTCCTCTTTCGCAAAACTGCAAAATTTTCCACAGTAAGATGTTTAAAACTGGCATTTCCCCTGTTGGGATAGTCCCCTTCTCTGAAGCACAGTCTGACCTACTACTTGTTCACCTGCTGTAGATTGTCCAATAGGTCACCTTCTGAAAGCCAGCACTGACCTTATCTCTCTGTTGGTTGTAAATTTCCTCCATACTGTTTTGTAACTCCCCTTAACCTAATGTTCACTTGTGTAAAAAGTTGGGAGAAATACTTCAAATACACTTCCATTTCTCAGCTACAGGCAATTCAAAGTAAGTATTTCCTCTCACACTAGAAATGACTCCTTTTCTGCTCCTGTACATAATAATTTCACTGACAATCTGCAACAAAAATCTTCTAGAAACTTCTTGTGGAAAAGCTCAACTTGGCAGAAAGAAAGGGACTATTGTTGGCTCTGTACACTTCTCTTTGGGCACCCAGGCTAACAATGCAGTTTAGAACAGTCTTTGCACCCTGCTTAGCCCTTAGCTCTTTCTCCCCAAGTTCACATTGCCCAGGAGAAGAATGCAAATGCTCATATGGTAAATGTTTAAATGAAACTTCATTAAATACTCCATTAAGTGGCTTTAAAGTAAAAAAAAAAAAGTTGCCTCGACTATTTCCCAGTTTTACCTCACGTTGCTCTATTTCTCAAAGGCCTTGACATATCTTAATTTTTTTGGCCCCAAGCATTTGCTCATAAAGGCAGTTTTCCAGCTATTCCATTACTTATTACATAAAAGATGCCTACAGAACTTTTAGGCTACAAGCACTTTGGAGATCTGCTGTCTCATGTTTTCCTTTCTGTTCACTGTGTGCCAAGCCATTCTCCCAGAAGTAAAAGCGATGAAATAACTGTTTCTAGCAGAAGGGTCTGGTAACCATAGACTTGAGTTTTTTAAATGAAGCACAATTTTTAATTTCATAACCGTGAATGATTATAAATCCCAGTGTTTCCCATCCAGCGTTAACGGGAAAGGACATCCGGAGTTCAGAACGGCTTTCCTATTCCTACCCCATTGCCAGTGTACAGACTGGCACAGGGCTGGTAGAGGCAGTTTGCTTATTTGCTGCTTCCTCGTGGAGGACTTGCTGTCCTTTCATACTCAATTCCTGCAGCATTAACATATATACTTATGTAAATATAGCTTTATTTTTCACAGTTATTAATAATGTCAAAAGTGAAAAAGTCCATGGAAAAGTATTACAACACTCACTTTTGCTTCTAGAGATTAATGTTTCCTAGAGGCAATACACAATTTGTTTTGTGATGAGGATAGACGGTAGACACTGGCTAGACAGTTTAGGGGCAAGAATTCCAAAAGCAGTGCCTCCAGGAGCATCCTTGCTTCTCTGGCCAGGAGAGGCTGAGGGGAGTTTATTACTGCTCTTCAATCATCCTTCCTGTAGGCAATGGGTACAAGTAGGATTGAAACTCCAGTGTGGACACAATCCTCTGAATAGCTTCAGAATTACACTCTAGATTGTAGGGCGAAATGAGTTATATCTGTTCCCCAATTTCAACCCATCTCCTAATGAAGAGGGGGAATGTCATTGTAGCCTTGATGAGGGTTCTATGGTCAGCCATCAAGAGAGAGCTATTTCTGTGGTCTGGGTGGGAATCTAACATTCCAAACTCTCCAAAACAGAGGGCTAACCCAGTTGGTTCTGGCTAAGGCATCACACTTCAAAAAGGACGATTCGCTTTAAGCCACACTAAAAAGATTGGGAGAGTAATTATTCAGTTAAGGAAATAATTTACATTTCCTTCCCAGAATTCCTGCCCCTGTGCAGTCACTTAAGGGAACCCCAGCTTTATGCTTGGGTTAAGCCTGCCTACTTTAGAAGCTAACTTTTCATCATCATCATCATTATTTGGGATGCTTATCAGTGCCTGGACATGCTTTCCTGAACATTCCTTTTTTTTTTTTTTCTATGCAGCTATTCCCTAGCCCTTCCCACATCTGCTGTTAACAGAGGCGATCGTTTGTTCTCTTTCTTGTCTTCCTCCTCCAGGCAGCTTGCCTGCCCTAGGTTTTTGGTTGGCTGGTTGGTTGGTTGGTTGTTTAATGCTAATAAAAATTATCCTATAGCTTCCTTCTGAGTCCAATCTTGAATTATTTTATTAACAAAACTCAAAACCTTAGAGACTCAAAACTTTCCCCAATAACATGGGACACTCCAAATGAACATCTCTAAATTCCCAGTAACATTTGTATTTGGTGCTCTATTCAAAATCTGAAATAGAATAACTTATTTTAAAACCAGTCATGATTTTAGTGCTTCCATCTTTTCAATAGCACATTCAGTGTTTATGTAAATGCTGAAGGTGACAGACTGTTCATATCACTGTCCCTGTTAAAGTAAGACACTGTTGGGAATACTTAAAGAATAATGACTTTATGGTGATTAATTAGCAGCTATGATCTGGTTAAAGAAACAGATTATAGGCAAGGAAATATTAAGCAGCAGAGACTGAATTGCCTCGCTGAGCTACCTCTAAAAAATGTTCATTTCAAGCTTTCAAAGCCTATTAATCACAAGGTGGTCTGTCTTCATTAACTGAGAATGTAAAATGAATGCTTTTTAAATTTATAGTAGGTTTATAATGCAAATTAACTGATTATTTCAGCTCAAATAGTCTATACTCCCTTCCCATATTTGAAATATCCAAATGTTACCATAATACATTTATCTTGCTTATGGAAACAACAATACTATTCAGATTTGTTCAGTATTCTTTAATAAATCTACATTCATTTTGCTATGATATATTTAGATTTTTTAAAAAGTCTTGCATTTCCCACAATCCTGTCAGCCTATGTGAAACAACAGATAAAGGCCATGATTTGCTGCATATATGAAAGATTTTCCACATACACATATATGTATATAAGTATATGCATACGTACCTATGTGCACAATATATGATGACAGCTTAACATTTATGTACAGAGGTTTTTATGGTTTGGATCTTAAATGTCCCCTGATGTTCTCATGCCTTAAGGCTTCATGGAGAGCGGGTGGCATGATTAGGTCATGCAACCTTCAGGAGGCGGGGCCCAGAGGAAGGAAGCTAGGTCACAGGGTATGGGCCCTTCCAAGGGGTCTTTACCTTTCCCTGCTCTCTCTTTGCTTTGTGGCCAGTGTGGGGAGACCAGTTTTGCCATCTAACCTCCTCCTCTCCCTGCTGTTCTGCCTCAACACAGGCCAAAACGGTGGGTGCCAAACAGCCACAAATGGGAGCCTCCAAAAGCCAAAACAACCTTTCCTTCCGTTACCATTGTTTACTCTGGCATTTCATCGTAGCAGTGAAAACCTGTAGAGTGCATTCATCTTAATGTCACAGGTACGTTTGTCTCTACAGTTTGGTAACAGTATAAAATTATAATTCTCTGTAACATAATTTTGTTTAGTGATATTATTCTCCCTAAAATTCCTCCCTCTAGTGCTAACTCCATGAACTTCTGGGGTCTCTCATGGTTCAAAACCTCAATCCAAGGCAGATCTAATGGCACAGCCTACACTCCTGCCTAATCATGAAGCTGAGACAAGAGAGTTACATATTCAAGGTCTGCCTGGGCTATAGAGTAAGTTCAAAGCCAGCCTGAACAATCTAGTAAGACCTTGTCTCAAACTAAAAAGTGAAAAGAGAATGGACTGGGAGGTGGTGGTACACACCTTTAATACCAGCACTTGAGAGGCAGAGGCAAGTGGATCTCTGTGAGTTCAAGACCAGCCTGGTATACAGAGTGAGTTCCAGAACAGCCAGAGCTGTTATACAGAGAAACCCTGTCTC